TCTAAGTCTAAGAGCAATCAGAACGATTATTGCGACTACTACTACGTACTACTACTACGTACTACTACTACTACGTACTACTACTACTACTACTACTACTACTACTACTACTACCACCTACTACTACCACCTACTACTACAACTACTACTACTACTACTACTACTACTACTATTCGACTCATTCATTGTCATGGTGAGTCTAGATTGGCAACGAGAACACCTCTAGCATTATGTTGAATTCAGTCTACGAAGGGTGATGGAACAGAGGCTGGCCGCTGGGCCTTGTGCTGCAGAGGGCCGAGCTGAGAGCGGATCGATTGTCACACGGCAGGACTCGCACGAGCTGCAGCTATCCACCGAAACTGCGACCATGCGCCGCCTTGAACAGAGGCCCTGCGAAATGTCTGGAAGCAGTGCTGCTGCTACAGTGGGTTTTGCACCGAGCTTGCACAGCAGATGGACCTACCGTATAGTAGGATACTATCAACAGTCGGTAGGACTCGGCAGGACTGTGACTTATCCCAAATCTTGGTTGCACATGTGGGCCGGGCAGTCGCCCACATCCTCAATCCCGTCGCGTTTCACAGACTCAGCTTTGTCATCACGTCTACGTGGCCATTAACGTCAAGCCTTCCATATAAGCTAAATGACTGCTTGTGAGTACACACGCGTGCACATACATACATCTCTCTCTCTCTCTATATATATATATATGCAGATTATATTTGCTTTATCTGCTGCTGTTACATTTGTTATTTTCTGATGTATCTCTTTATTCACGGACGTGTGTTGTGCCTTCGTTTTTACTTATATGTATGTCAGACTGTCAGACCGCATGTGTATTTATTCAAGCCGATTCCATGTTCGTGTTTTTAGTATGTACTTTGTGATAACAAGCCCCATTCGAGGTGCCGCTTTCTGGAGCACGGCGCAGAGGCTGCTGAGGCCGACCCCCGTATCCACACACAACACAACACAAACCCACTGGCCATTACGTCACAGTCCTGTGAAGGAGTGAAGGATGTAATTACATGCCGAAGGAAGCGAAACCTCCCGCAATGTGCACAGTTCTTCCGAGGGCGTTGAACACTACCCGCCCCTGCTTTACGTGAAAGCATGTTCTGACGAGCCATCTCGTGCAAAATCATCGGTTGCCAGGCAGAGTTGACGACTACATCCCAGCAGCTCGTGGCCTTGGAGGTGATCTCAAGTGTCTCTGTGTGTCTGAAGCAGCACCATCGCAGCATCCATGCACGGCTTAGGTCGCTAGGGTTGGGCTCTGAACGATCGCAGTGTAAACGTTGCCATCTCACCACGAAAGCATGTTGAGCTTCATGGTGGTTGATGGCTCGGGGACACTGAGCCATCCTCAAGCCTATTGAAGACCCGCAGGCCAAAGTTCGGGGAGTGGAGGGCGAGCTGCAAGTTTAGTTGCAGCAGTTCATGGACGAATGGATCGTGGGTTGATTGCCCGCCATGTATGTGCTGTGGTCGAGGTAAAGTGAGAACATGGCGAGTTTCGCTGAGGGCACCACGGTCAGAATGTCATCTGTGCTTCTTGCAAAAATCTACTTCTCACAGTGTTACCCTAACCCCCCAATGGGCCCCAGGGTACTAGAGCCCCTAGTGCCCTGTATAGTAGGTACCTGGAGGGTTAGGGTTACATTCAATTGAGACTTCTGCTCTGGGAGCGTACTCAGTGCGTTTAATGCAGCATTGCCAGCATGCAATGGCGGGCGGCGAGCATGCGAGCCTTCTGGGCAAGCTGAATGAGAGGATTCAGCTAGCTGAAGATTACAAAACCCGAACAGAAAACATGATCCATCGGATCCTTGAGCAGCATGCGATGTGGAGGGCACAACATACTGCAATTCTTGAAGTCTATGCTGCGTTGGGAGGATGGACGAAGGATGCTGCGCAGCAGGCGGCAGCTGCGGCTCTCCCGTCGATACCGCTTCAGAGATCCTGCCCCAGTGATTCTTCAGCGCCGAGACCTGCAAGATCGGAGCAGATCGTCGTTTTAGATGATCCCAACCAGGTATGGAACCGTGATTTCGGACATGCCGAGTTCGAGGACCAGGTTCCTCACCCAATTGAGCGAGTGTCACAGCAGGTCATGGCAGACGAGTCGGTGGATGTCTCAGAAGATGACGATGTCATGCTGCTGGCAGAAAAGCCATATCCTGCGGACACCCAGTCCTCGCAGCAGCCGGACAATCGCAGCAGCCTGGGGAGCCAATTCGCGCGGTCCCAGCTGGCCAGGATGTCCGCGCGGAGTTCTGAGTTTGACTCACCTTCCTTCTGCTCTGGCATGAGCGCTGACGAGCTGGGAAAGCAGATTCTGGCCGACCTTGACAGAATCCCCGACAAAGACTGGGAAACCAGGTCGAGAGAGAATGTTAGACCCGCCGGAGAAGCCAAGAGTTTGCAGAAAACACTGGGTCTCTTTGTGGGTGCCCGCTGGCATGGAATACCTATGCCAACTTCTGGCACGTTCAACTTTCGCAAGCTGACCAGAAACATCTTGCTGTACGCGAGACAGCTCGGAGTTGGGGAAGCAACGTCCATTCAAGTCACAAAAAATCTGTGCACAAGGCCGCACAGGGATGCGAACAACAAAGGGCCAAGCTGGATCTTCGGTCTGGGAGATTGGACTGAAGGCGGTGAGACCTTTGTTCAAGATGACAGCGGGACTGAGGAGCACGAGCTGCAGGAGCATATCCCCGGCATCGGGCCAAAAGGCAAGGTCTTGCACGGGTTCAAAAGGGACATCCACATCCTCCAGAAGTTTGATGGCACCAAAATTCACTGCACTGTCCCATTCAAAGGCACTCGCTATGCCATTATACTGTATGCCATCAACAGGTCCTATCACGAGACGCCAGCTCTCGCTCGGGCTCTGCTGGTCCGTCTCGGGTTCAATCTCCCCCTGCACGAGTTCGAGGCAAATATCCAAGCAGAGGATGAGGAACTTGCCGGGGCTGTTGTTGAGGGCAGGCCAGTGGCAGACGAAGCTGGAGGTCACCCGCCGCCAACAGGTTGGTCTAGGCCATTAAAGCGCCCGCATGAGGATACGGAGGAAGCCGCGGCGGAGCCACAGGAGCCTTCTGCTGCCAAGCCGGGACAACCTGCGATTTCTCTTCCGATTCTCCAGCCTGCCTTTCGCCCCAACGAACCCGAAGTGCAGGAGGTGTGGTCAGATTCCGACATGGAGACATTGAAAGACTTGAAATGAAATCACCCGAGCGCACAGCAGGCTGGACAGTCATAGCAGAGAAGCTTGGCACGAAGAGTCTGTCAAGACGACGTGGGAGGCATTGTGTCAGGATTCGATGTGCTCGCTAGCTGCAAAGGGCAGCGCGTGCCTCCGGGTCGAGTAGCACTTGAAAGCTACTGAGAATCTTATAAGCACGGCGTCTTCTTCGCAGCATGGTACCATGAGTCTCAGTCTGAAGGCGACCGCTGTGGGCGGCGAAGTTATGGGCGAAAAAGTGTGATGCATCGAAAGTTGAACCATGCATACTATGCAACCCTAAACCCTAAACCCTAAGCCCCTACTATGCATTATAATTACATGCAAGTGCTGTCGATCGTTGCATGGCGGATCCCTCGAGAGGCAGCCCGGAAGAAGCTGGAGAGGGACCTCGCCTGCCAACAGGCCCAGCATGTCAGACAATCTATGGGTAGTTGTCAAAATTATGGTCCCTTTTGGGGTACCCTAAATAATAGGTGCCGTAGTATAATAAGGACCCCGAAAGGGATCATAATTTGGACAACCACCCCTATGGATGTAGATAGCTGTGCAGCTGACTTCTGTCCGGGAGCTGCCAGATCTTCGTTGGAGTTCCAAATTCCAGTGTCAACCAGTGTGAACTTGACCTTGCTTGAAACCTCCCTTTATGAAACGTCTTCCTGTGTTGAAAGCCTCCCATTACTGCTCTCGACATGCGATTGCGCCGACAGCGAAACTTCAATCAACGAACTCCATCCTTGCCCCTGCATTCATTTGGGCTGGCACCCGAATCATTGAAAAAAAGTGGCGACGGTGGGGCACCTGCTTACCCAACACATAATTTGACGCACAGATATCCCCATTTATGTTTATATCTATACATTCACCTATATCTGCATGTATATCTACATCTGTATCCATATCCAACGTCTATATCTCTATATCGATATGGATCTGGTTGTGGATCTATATCGTCTATGTCAAATCTATATCTATCAGATATATTCAACATCCTAGTTGCATGTCTAGTTATGTGCCTGCATTTGTACCTATGTCTATGCCGCAAGCCTGTATCTACACATGAATCTCTAAAGACATCTATGTCGACAACACACATTCAATCGCACTCTCTCTTTCTCTCATCACGGCCGCAGATGTTGCCACACAGTCGCGCACAAGCGGTTCGCAGAGTGTTTGGGGGATAGTACGGTGGCCGAGCGCAGCCTGCACAGGAGGCCGGGAGACAGGCCGAGGCTCAAAGAGAAGCCGCCGCCGAGGAGCGTTTGGGGTGTGCCCTGTGTAGGATTTCAGGTGATTTCTTTGCTTCTAGTGGCAAAGTTTTAAACGTTTGTTCCTTGCAGGGAGAGGCTTTACATACACGGAGGGCGCGACATTCACGAGTGCCGTGATTCTGCATGCTCGAGGCCAGGAGAATGGTTGGTCATAAGTTCTGATGGCCGTGAAAACGGACCGAAGCTCGAACAAGTTCGATATTATTTGGGGCCTTTGCTGGACTTTCAGCACATGCTCGAATCAGAGCAGTAGTTGCAGTAGTAATAATGATAATACTTGTTGTTGTTGTTGTTGTTGTTGTTGTTGGTGGTGGTGGTGGTGGTGGTGGTGGTGGCGGCGGTTTTTTTGAGGTCACCGTCAGACTGGAGCACGATACAGAGATCTAATTTATGTGGAGCTGGTGTTGAATTAAAGCAGAGAGGTTTGATAACTTCTGGAGAAGAAAGGGGCAAACTCGAGAAGACCAGCAGTTCAGGCCTATAGGGTCGACAGCCACCTTGCAGGATGACGCCCAGACCAAAGACGAGCTGGAGCAGAAGCTTGGGCAGCAGTTGTCGTCGTCGTTGAGTTGGTTAGTGCTCAGACTGGCCGGTTAGTCTAAGTCAGAGCAGTGTCATCTTGACGTATCTTGGTACTGAACTTTACAAAGAAAACCGTTCCCAACCCAACGGAAGCTCCACAGAAGGTATCGGTTGTAGCCGCCCCACGTCCACCATGCAGTGCAAGTGTAGACATGGCCCCGAGGTTGGATTCGTGCATACCCGAGAATATTTTCTGCAACTCCTGTGTTATGACAGCAAAAGGCTACTGAGACATACCTCGATCCTTTCTGTACCTTGGCTCACCCGCACAAGTCCGAGGAATCTTTTTCATACGAAGCGGGAGCTGACATCCCTGAAGTGGCAGTATGATCAGCTTGTGGCAGACCGCGCCGCTGGGCTTACAATTTCCCAGAAGTCATATGGATTCCAACGCAAACGATAGCGGTTGAACCTGCTGGCTGTGCATTTGTGTAGAGTATAGATACGGACTTTCGTAGCAAGCTTTTGCTGTCAGGGTTCAGGGGTCCTTGTCTACAGTTTCTGAGTCCGGGGTCCTCCAGGAACGACCCCTTCTTCGTTCGAAGTCCTTTACGACAACCTGAAAAAGATTGTCAACAGACAGCATACAACTTGGCATACAGTGCCATTTTCAAAACCACCAGCCCGAAAGAGCCGTTGAGGCTTTAAGAATCCACCTGAGCCCTTCAAACAAAATCCCCAATTCCATTTCCGCCTTAAACCCTAAGCCCTAAACCCCTAAACCCTAAACCCTAAACCCTAAACCCTAAACCCTAAACCAGGACCAGTCCTTGCAGAAGGCGGCCAATGTGGAAGCTGCTCTCAAGTCTGCAGACCTCCGACAGGCCTCGGCGCAGACTTCATTTAGGGGCCTTTAAATAGCTACCTATACTATTTTTGGGGCTTCCTTATTAATTATAGTTACAGCAAAGCATGTCCCAAAAACCCTATTCATGATTATCAGGGCTCCTATATTATGACATTATGGCATGACAGTTTTTGCAATGCCGTGCCACATAGAGGCATGCCTTACGTAACGGCAACCTTTTCCGTGGCTCCAAAAACCCTGGGCTTGGTGGCACGGCCTGGGCGGCCTGGGTGCGACAAAGTTTGCAAAGGACTTTCCCTAACCCTCCAGGTACCTACTATATAGGGCCTCAGGGGCCCTAGTACCCTATATAGTAGGTACCTGGGTGGTTAGGGTTTGTTTTTGGAACAAGAGATTGCGCGACAAGGCAACATGCTGTTGCGCGTTTTGCACTATGTTAGCAGTTCAGAGTTGTATTGCTTGCATTTCTTGGCAGAGTGGCTGCTTCCATGGCTGTTTGTGAGTTGAAGTGCCGCTTCGGCTCGGGGGGTGTTCACTCTCTTCAGGCTGAGGGTTCAGTTGACATTGAGGCTCTAGGGTTTTGAATGGGGGATGCTAGGGGCTTGGTTCTTGGCGATTGATAGATGGCGGAGACACTTCCCGGCGAGGGCAAAGTCATTCTGATTCAGGACCCCCTTCTGCAACTCATTAAAAGTCTTATTTCAACGGCATCTGCCTCGCGCGGGCAAGCTTGGAACGGCCCTCCAGGAAGAGCCCAAACCCCGCTTGCTCCTCCGCCTTAAACACTCAAGGCAGTGGAGTCTGCCTGCTGTTGGACTGAGCGTGGCTCCCAGTGGTTGCTTTTGGCTTGATGGTCGCAGCATGTTGCCTCTAATAATACGTCTAAGGCGTAGGTGGAGTTTTTGTATGCAACATGCTGCAACATGGGTTTCAGCTGGATTTCACGTGGCACAAACAAGTAAAATAAGTAGAGGTCAATATAGGTGACGTGGAGAAACTGCTGTAAAGATGGATGTCTTCTATGTGGGAGACTGCTGGTATGGATTATGCGGGCACCTAATGGTGGTAGCAAAAGTAATGCAACAGTACTAGTGGTAACAAGAATAGTAGCAGCAGTAGTTTTGGTAGTGGTAGTGGGGGTAATGGTTGTGGTGTGAGGCAAGACGCTGCCAAGGCGGCGGAAGCGCGGGCGACGGGCTTCGAGGCTGTTTAGATCGCTGGCATACATGTAAAAACCTCGGCACCCCTGTTCGGGCCCCCATTTTCTGATTTTTCTGTTTGAATTCCTGTATACCTGTTACCTGCAGATCAACGTAGCATCAGTTTTCAAGCCTGTGTATTGAGGTGCCAGCATCATGTGCTAGATTCGCGGCCCCGGATGTGTTTGTCCCCCCGTGGCATGTCATGTTGTAGCATTTCAACACAGGCCCAGCACAGGCCTCAGATCTTGCTGGGTCCATCGGAATCTGATGAAACCAAGCAGTTGAAGAGCGGCCACCACAAGCTCTCATGTGTATGTCTGCAACATGCTTGTTATGTACAGAAAGTGCGAGAGAGAGAGAGAGAGTGTGTGTGTGTACTTTTCACAGTCCCTTTAATCAGCCCCCAAAAATTTCGGGGCCCTAGAGGCCAGGGGGCTTAAGACGCCCCCAATGCCCTGTGGACGAGAATGAGATGCCTTGAAGAAGAGGCAGAGAGAGAGAGCCCCTAGCCCTGGCGAAAGAAAGAGAGAGAGAGAGATATATATATATATATATATGTATAGAGCGAGCGAGAGACAGATAGACAGTGAGAGAGACAGATCTGGAGTGCGGGTAGCTGTCGCGACCTGAGGGGCATAGCGAAGCCCTTAGCTGGAACGGCACACGAGTCGCGAGCCCTTCGAACGATGTGGGCTCAACTGGTTGGTTTCTGCAGCTTGCTCAGTCGGGTAAGTATAGCTAGAGACTCTGACTTGTTTGTAGAATTTCAGCTTGTTCTGGGATGATCTTTCGGTAAGAACGTGCCTATGCCATAGTTCTCGGTGCAAAATCTAAAGCTTGCCCAGCGAGACTTGCAACTTCCAACCCCCGACGAGGAGCAGGCGGCAAACTTGCGGCACACCGTCTACCGCCTTGAGAGCGAGCTGGGCCATCAAAGGGCTATTGCCATGGCAGCTGGGCCACGGTTTAGGGTTTAGGGTTATTGAAACTGCTGTTAGATTCCACATGGCATCACTAGAAATTCCACGGAGCTGTTCGCGTGAATGCTACCATGATAGAACCGTAACCCACATCGCCACGTACTGCCACATACTGCGCTATCGGCACCATGTAAATGAAACATCGAAGGTGCTAGTCTACACAGTATACAAGATAACTAATGGGGTAATAATGTATGGTTAGCCTTGACACATGTACCATCAGTAAGGCCTGACGAAGCAAAAGAGGTCACCACAATTTACAAGCCATTCAATTCTTTGTCGTTTCGCAAACCCCTTGCGTGAGTCATCACATATACGTCATACTTGTAAAGGCATTCGGCTTTACGGTGCTTTACACATCATAACACACCTCAGACGCAGCCACACACACATGCACGCTCTGCTGGTAATTGCACAGTGGATGATGGTTGTCGTTCTGAGGAATGGTTTTTGGCGTTCACGTACTATCGATTCAGAAAGCAGCAAGCACGTGCTGCACACCCCTGCGTGCGACAGCAGGCCCACGACAGAGTAGCAATATATGAACTAATATGTGTGTTTGTATGTATGTACATATGTGCTGGTACGTATACCTGTCTTTCTGTCTGCAATTAACTGTAAATGTCGGCATGCATGCAAGCCATGGCTGGTTGGCTGGCGGCTGGCTGGCCGGCCGGCCGGATGGATGGATGTATGGATGGATGGATGGACACATGTATGTAATGGTTCATGTATGCATGGTTGTATATATAGATATATATATATATATATATGCTCACCCCCCCCCCGTTGACAGACCGCGGCGCGCATACAGTGTGTTCCTGGCAAGTGAGCCTGCTGATTAAAACCTGTTCGTGATTGCCGCCGTTGGCTTTTAACATTGGTTTTAGTACTTTCCTTTGGTATTGAGACTGGCGTTAATTTTTATAGTAGCA